AAAAAAAAAAAAAAAAGAAAATCAATGGGAAAGTTGGCAGGAGTTAGGAAATGGAGACTACATGATGCTGCATTTAATGACGATGGAGGAAACACTTTACAACCGCAAGAGGAAGTGCTGGAATGGACGTCATAAGGCAACACACTCATGTGATGCTATGGTCCCCATTATTGTCATTAAATAAGGACTACCGGTATTGGCAAATCCATGCCGACTTCTGCCAAGGAATGCATTCTTTTCAACATGTTCTCAAACCAACTGCCTAACATGTAAACCAGACTGATTGGTCTATAGTTATCTAAGTACTATTCCCCTCTTTCTGAAGACAGGAACATATCTGCTCTTCTTCAGTCCTCTGATACTTCACCTGACCCTCAGGATTCCTCTTTTTCATTCTGAAAAGTTTCTTTGTATGTAAGTGGTGGTAAATATTATTGCTACCATTAATCTAATAATATTGCTTCCAACAACTTGGGACACTTAATATTCTTAAATTAGTTTTTGATTGAGTCTTTAAAGCATTTCAGTTAGATTACCTATAAAAAAATAACATTACACATGAACAATGTAACAAATAATAATGAGCATATATGTAAAGAATACTTGCTGTTTAAATGTGTGCCCAATGCCTTCTCCTGCCTTCCAGCCCATGCCCTTCAACATAGCAAGACCATAAGCTTCCACTGGTACCTCTTCATAATCTGCCTCAGTTGACTGCCAAAATTAAAATATATGGAGAGAGAGAGAGAGAGAGAGGAGAAGGAAAAAGAACAAGAATTAAATCATCTGAACTAGGAATTCTAAGAGATATCCAGAATAATGCAGTTTTATTCTTACCGCTTCTGGGCGGAGGCTGACATCCACTTTGTCCCCGTCTTCAAAGCCATCAGGCACACGGTTCACCATGAGGAGAGGAATTGCAAAGTTGGGGTCTACCTTGCTTCCACTTTCCCACAGTTCCTGGGATTTCTTGGATTCTAAACAGCAGTTAACCAAAGCATAAGAGTGAAGTCAAGAAAACTCAGAGTCAAATATTTGTTTCCTAGGTCCAATGGGGAGAAATTAAGAGCCACTCAAATCCAAACTGATCTGGATGTTCATTACAAGAGATTTTCCAGGAAAGCAGCAGTGAAGTATCTGTTTTATCAGATTGCATACTTCACAGCTCTTACAACAACCAGATTTTCTGTTTGTGGCTTAGAAGCATTGGTATTAATTTAGATACATCAACAACTAACAGAAAGTTAGTATGCAAGCATAAGGTATACAGCGCTATAGTTCAACTGCATCATTACAAAGAATACCTCTAGACAATTAACTCTTAATGTTTAAGTTATCTAAATATTAGAGTGTTAATAATCTCTAGTCAACACTGTATAAATACCACCATGCCCAAATAATATATTATTATTAAATGTATTGCTGCCCACCCATCTTGTTGCAGGGCTACTCTTTACACCCTGTGCATTAAAAATGTAAAATGATAAAAAAATGTAAGTATAACATTAATAAAATAATGAAACAATAAAAATAAACAATGAAAGTACAGCAATATGATTAAAAAATGGATAGGGAGGGAGCAGGGTGCATGTGGGAGGGAGGTGGGAGGTATTATTAGTCCAATAACCACCTCCATTGTGGTACTCTCCATTGGGCCCCCAGGCCAACTGGCTGAGCCAGGTCTTCAGGCTCTTACTGAAGGATAGGAGAGTGGGGGGCAGGATGTTCCAGAGGGCAGAGGCTACGGCAGAGAAAGGAAAACAGCCAAGAAGGTCAGAAAGGGCAATCCTATTACCAGGATACTGCAACCATTGTAAATCCATGCTAGCTACCAAAATATCTGAATTTTGATCACATGATCATGGAATGCTGTAATGGTTGTAAGGGCGAGGACCAGTTGTAAATCATTTTTTAGTGCTGAAAAAATGCACTGAATAACTTTGAATGGTTGCTAAACTAATGGCTATAAGCTATGTGCTAGCCTGAGCTCCTGCAAGGGCAGCATATAAGATAATGAATAACAATCAATCATGTGATGGTCAGGAATAAAATACATAATCATCAGGTGATGTCCAGCAGTATCAGTCTTAACTTCACCAAGTGGAGACTTGGTAAAGTCAATGCTATTGACATACATCATAGCAAGAAAACTGCAAATCACTACTTCCTCCCAATTATGCTAATTTATGTTTCTGGTTAGATGGAGATGTTTAGGGAAGGGAGGTTCGGGCTAAAACTTTGAGATACTAGTGGTCCTTATGGTATCCCTGCTCCATGTTCTAACAGAGGTCAGAATCATTTTCCAGCAACATCACTGGCAAACAATCTATTGATTTCTCCATAGTCTTAAAATTAGCCCATTACAAGTTGCCATACCAGGTTCCTGTAATTATAAACTGAAAAAAGAGCATCTCACATTCTGTTTTTTACTAGTGGACAAAGTTGCAATTCTGTGATTTCTTCACCTTCAATGAGTTCTTTGACTGCTTGTGCATCAACACCATTCATCCCATCCTGCTCCTGATGGGTTGCAGATACCTCAGGCTTCTTCCACTGATTCTTTCGGATCAAGGGAATGACAAGCTCTTTTGGCTGAGGGGCTGGTCGAACACTGCAGGGAAAGAAAGAGTGTCAATAAAAATTGTGATTGGGGCTTTTCTATTCACATACATTGTGGAGACGTTTCAAGAGGCTAAACTAGTCAAGCACTAGCCTCTCACAGAACTATGGCCCTTACTATATGCTAGTGAAAAAAAGCCAGATTTTAAAGAAATTACATCAATATGGAGACCAAAGTTTCCAAGTAATACTTAATGCATCCATAATAAGTATTTAAAATATACACTCATTTTTCATTGCTTCACACTGCAAGGAAACTTAGGCAACTGGCTCAGGAAGAAAGTAATGGTTACTTAATGTGTAAAAATGAATTACTGAAAGAAGAATTACACTGATGGAGGGAACCTCTACACTCCTGTTCCTTTTTTGCCCATCACTACACTTAAAATCTCATGTCCAATTTTTTTTTACCTGGTTACAGACATAACCAATAATCAATCCTTCTTGTGATATGGCATGGGAGATACATTTGCAGAGATGACTATCAAGCATTAATTGATAACCCTAACTTGTCTGACATGAAAAAGAGCACAATATGGCCAAAATAAGTAGATGCATTTGATTTGCCTGTGAATGGCAGGCACAAATTTTTGGGTAGCAAAAAAGAAATAAAGAACCACTTGTAATGGATTTGCTGAAATGACAAGCAATTAACATCACAGTAACATCCTTGTTCCACAAAAGTCAAAATATACCTTTAATTTATATTATGATCCCTTCACTCTTTTCCCTGTCCTGTACATTAATAAAGGATAGACTGGAACCTTATCCGAGTAACAGATAACAGATTTTTGGGTGCTCAGTTGGCAGGAAGTTGCAGGCTATACAATGGGATGTAATTGATCAATCAATCAATCAATCAATCAATCAATCAATCAGAATAGAGCTGGAAGGGACTTTTGGGCATCAGGGACCAGCCTTTTGGGCACCAGAGACCAGTTCCATGGAGAGAGGTTTTTCCACGGACTGGAGGGGAGGCATTGTTTCACATATTGCCTGTATCCCATGGATGGGGCTTCGCTTGTTTGCGTGGCCCGATTTCTGGCATGCTGTGGCCCGGTTCTGGTCCATAGACTGGGGGTTGGGGACCCCTGTTCTAGTCCAATTCCCTGCTCAAGCAGGAGACCCCACACCATTTCAGATAGGTGGTAATCTGATCTCTTCTTAAAAACCTTTAGTGATGAAGCACCCACAATGTCTGAAGGCAAGCTGTTCCACTGGTTAATTGTCCTCAATGTTAGGAAGTTTTTCCTTAATTCCATTTGCTTCCATCCATTGTTTCTTGTCTTGCCTTCTGGTGCTTTGGAAAATAAATTGACCTCCTCTTCTTTGTGGCAATCCCTCAAATACTATAATACTGCTATCATGTCACCCCTAGTCCTTCTTTTCTCTAGTCTAGACTATCCAAACCCAAATCTTGCCACCGTTCTTCTTATGTTTTTGTCTCCAGGCCTTTAATCACTGTAGTTGCTCTTCTCTGCACTTTTTCCAAAGTCTCAACATTTTTTTTAATGTGGTGACCACAACTGGATGCAGTATTCCAAGTGTGGTCTTACTAAGGCTTTATAAAGCGGTACTAATACTTCACGTGATTTTGATTCTGTGCCTCTGTTTATACAACCAAGGATTGTATTAGCTTTTTTTGGCTGCTGCAGCACTTACAGGATTAAACAATTAAACTTATGGGATTACTTAGGCAGCACTAACTGATCCTCACTATAGTAGGGAAACTGTATCTGGTCTACCCTCTTCCAGCAGCGGCTCACACGATCGAGTACTGTACTCTTTCCTAACCTGAAACGGAAACAAATCTTCCACAACAGAGTGAGGGCTCTGGGAAGAGACCCATGGCAGAATCCATCTTCTTGACCTAGCAGCTTTCTATATGCGGGGCTTTCGGTACGGGGAGGGGGGGAGTTCATCCCCAGCAACTTGCAAAAGGTTTACGACACAGAGTCCGCCAAACCCGGACACGAAGCCGCCTCCGCACGACAGATCTTCTCTGCTTAATCCGAACCGCACAGCCTCACCCACCCACCCCCACCTGCCCCCGCCGAATCCACACCTTTGCAATTCTTTCCCTTCAACCGCGGAGAGGAAATCGGGTTCCTGTTTCGCTTCCTTGCCATCCTGCCCAGTTATATGGAGAAACCGCTTCCGTCCGCTCGTTCGGGAAAAACTGAACGACACCGGAACTGCTGGCACACCGGCTGGCTTCTCGCTTTCCTCGGCCATCTTCTATTCACTATCTAGTCCTCACCCCGCTTCCGACCACGTGGTGTTCCGTGGCACCCTGGGAAACGGAGTCCTTTAGAACGTTATCTTCTTATTCAGCCCTCGAAACCGGGAGAATTAGACATTACAACTCCCAGGATGCAGCGCCGTACAGTTAACTCGCTACGGGTAACTGTTGCGACTGTCGTGGAGCTTGGCGGCAGAGCGGGGGTGGATACGTTTTCGGTGACGCGTGTGGTGTAAATTGCATTCGAAATCCGAAGGTATTTTAAGAGTTACCGCAGTCACCAGCCACGTCTAAGGAAAAATGGGACGCTCCTCCAAAGACAAACGTGATATTTACTACCGTCTGGCCAAGGAAGAAGGGTGGCGAGCTCGTAGTGCATTCAAACTTCTGCAGCTGGATGAAGAATACCACTTATTTAAAGGTAGGGGGAAAATAATGCTCGCAAATTACATCATGAGTTGATCACTAACACATATTTCTTGCTTTGCCAAAGCAGCTACTATTTTCCAGATGTATCATACTAAAGTATAATTCCATCCCCCACCAGCGCTTTGAAGGGGCTGCATTGGAAGGTATGTAGGAGCACTGAGGCCAAAGACACATGTTAGATCCATGGCTTATCCCATGAACCTATAAAAGGGATTTAACACTTTTAGCTATTATCTTTCTTTCAAGAACATAAGGGTCATACATGATCTTCTCTATATTGTTGAAAGAAAAATCTTCAGGTCCAGTCCAAGCCAGGAATAAACAAAATGGAGGCTGTTTGGAAAGAAGGTGGTTGTTTATTTTGTTGTCAGAAACTTCAGTGACAGCAGCATGTTTCTGGGGTGGCTGACAAAATGGAGCTGGGAGTGGTTGGTTTTTATACCTTGGGCTTTTGTGTTTGGAGTTGTTTCTGTGGCATTGTATTTGAGGTTCTTCCTATTCCTGTGCAATAAACTTTGACCTGAGGTTAAGTGTGCCCTTTTGGTATTCTAATGTTGGGTTAATCCTATTATGTCCTAAAAGTCATGTCCTGCTTCCCTGGGGCTGTGGCTGATGGCTATGTCCTGTGTTGGATTTTTTAGGTGAGGGGTTGCTGGTTCTAATGATATCACTCTGCTGTTATTAGCTATCAAATCTTGCTCCAAGGGATTTCGAAAGATCCTGTTTTGAATGGGCTTCTGCAGGTAGTATTTGCTCATGAATGGGGCCTCAGTCTTTCTGAATAGGATTATCAAATGTGCTTTTCTACCTTTAAGATCCTTTGGGGAAATATAATATTCTGCCGTTTTTAATATTCCCCCAAATATTTCCTTCTATAGAAGGGTGGGTGGGTGCTGACTTCCAACATTATCTTCACAATAGTCCTGAAAGTCAGCTGGACTGAGAGATAGTAACAGACCCAAAACAATCTAGGAATGGTCAAGTAGGGATTTGAACTTGGATCTCCACACTCTTAACCCTAACTCTATAAGCATTCACATCTTTCCATTAAAAGAAGAATGGCTTTCCCATGTGTTGTGGATCCTAATTTCATGGAGTTAAGATTGCTACAGAAGACAGAATATATATAGCTTATCAATCAGTCCTTATGTTTCAAGATTTATGAGCTCGTACTTCCAGCCTCATACATTAACTGTGATGATTATTTTGAACTAAGCAAGCTATCCAGGAAAGAAATATTACCACTGAACATGTGCAGAAAGCTACTTGTTCACAGCAAAAATAATACTATTTGGGAGGCAGAGATAAGGCCTCTGGAATTTTTACAAATTTTACAAATCGTTTATAAAATTTTACAATATTTTTTTTTTTACAAATTTTTACAAAGCATACTTGGTGTCACTTTTATGTTTTGTGGTTTTCCTCCTGACAGTTGTATTGCAATAATGCAATTATTTCTTCTTCTTTTGCCCTTTCCAGGTGTCTCCCGGGCTGTAGATCTTTGTGCAGCACCTGGTAGCTGGAGTCAAGTTCTCAGCCGAAAGCTCAAGTAAGGAAACAATTTGCCTTCAGGGTGGTGGAAGGTTATGCCTCTCAGGGAGAGAGCAACATCATCCTACTTTCTCCTCTTTCCCTTTCTCCAGAGGAGAAGATCCCCAAAATGCAGATATCAAAATAGTGGCAGTAGATTTGCAAGCCATGGCTCCATTGCCAGGAGTCATTCAAATCCAAGGGGACATCACCAAGGTACGTGTTGTTTAATGAAGCCATATAGGAAATAACCCCCATGTCCTGCTCTCATCCTAGCCCAGGGCAGAATATGAGCCCTATTTATTTATTTATTTTTTAAATCCCCTTTGTTCTTCTTTGTCCTCCTCTTCTCTTTCTAGGTTTCAACAGCTCAGGAAATCATTCATCATTTTGAGGGGCAACCAGCTGATCTGGTTGTGTGTGATGGAGCCCCTGATGGTAGGTCTCAACCTAGTCTTATCAGGGATTACCAACTTTGGCAGGCTGACATCTGTTTTCTTGCGGAAGGGGGAGAAGCTGCATAATGAAATGTTTCTTTTGCTCTTGCAGTGACTGGACTCCATGATATAGATGAGTACATCCAAGCCCAACTGTTGCTTGCTGTAGGTATATTCTAATTTTATCCCCATGTCTGATGACTAAAGCAAACCACATAATATGCTACGGGAGGTTTTTGTTGTTTTTTCCTAAATTTCTTCCTCTTCTTTTCCAAAGTATTATGAGATAGTGGTAGTTCTGTTGCCATAGAAACACCAGCAGATCCTAGAACTGTACTTAAACATATTTCATCTGAATTAGCCATCCCACTGATGTTCTTTTTTCCTCTTTTATCCAGGCCTTGAACATTACTACGCATGTCTTAAAGAAAGGGGGGACATTTGTAGCTAAGGTGAGCCATGCAGATGAAGAATCATTGGATATAACAAAGCACTTCTGGGTATCACTTATTCAAGCCTGCTTGTATCCAGCAGCACAGCAAAGTGAATAGTAGTTTTCCAACGCTAGTTCTTGCCTTAGAGAATTAACTGATTCAGTGCTGAAGCAAATGTGGTGGATTTCAGTGGGCAAGTGCAGGTCTGAATCTGCTGTCAGATCAAGGTGGATTTCACCTATTTCAGCAATGATCTGGGAAATAGTAGGTACTTCCAAACCTTGATTAGCAAAGTAACTTTGATAGGACTTCAGATCATGTGCAAACTTATTTGCCCAGGCTGTCTTGGGCTGTTGGGAGCTGTTGGTCACCAATACCCAAAGAGTTGCAACTGTATGACTTATATCGTTCGATGAAAGTTTCAGTACTGTATTTTGCCATTTCCATTGTAATTGATGGGTTGGTGATCTTGGAATCACAGAACCTCAGATTGGGATGACTGCCAGAAGTACTGAGTTACTGCGCCTAGCTGACAGGTTGCATTTCTTCTGGAGGTGCCCTCGATTTCTCTCTCTGCCTCTGCTCCTGGATTCATTATACCCCTAAGAACTCCTTGCTCCTCATTCAGTTTCTGTAGTTTCTGTGACAATGTAACAACGCAGCTAATCCAGGCGTGATGTAGCATTTTGTTCTCCCGTTTCAGATATTCCGAGGGAAGGATGTCACTCTTCTCTATTCCCAGTTGAATATATTCTTCCCTGATGTGACATGTGCCAAACCCCGAAGTAGTCGCAACTCTAGCATTGGTGAGTAACAGTTTCTTACATGACTGCTTCTTGCATGCATATTGACCATTTTTTGGTTCATGGGGAATCGTGCATCAAATCTGACAGAATTGGAAAGCTTTAATGGAATCATAGATATGCTGTTACTTTGGGTGGCTCATTTTGGATTCATTGATAACTGGAAAAATGGGATATATTGGACTTGCTTACATTTAATAAGGTGTTAACATTTTTTCCACTATAGTTACTTTATGTATCTAAACTTTATAGCACTTAAACTGGCTTTGCATTTAACCGTTTTTTATTCAAAGTAAGAAAGCCTGGAGAACTTTTTTTTTAAGGTGAAACTATTCTTAATTGAGGGAACTGAAGAGGACTGAAGAAGAGGCATCCAAAAGTTTAACTTCCTTTCCATTTTTCAGAAGCCTTTGCTGTTTGCCGAAACTATAGTCCCCCTGAAGGTTATGTGCCAAACATGTCTAATCCCCTATTGGATCATTGTTATGGTAAGAAACCTTGAAGAGAAGAGGTTATTGTTGATGACGATATGCTGGGAAATGTGGGAGAAGGATGCTGAAAAAAGGAGGTGAATGGTTCAAGTTATTTGTAGGAACATTGTGAGTGATGAGATTCTGGGAGTGATTCATGCTATTATCTTGAGAAATAGCAGATTTCTGTACCCTAAAGGCTTCTAAGCAGAAGCAATAGTAATTGGTTTCCTGCATTGGAAAGAAGTTGGCTTAGAGATGATCGTGACTGTATGGTCCTTGATTAATTGCTGCTGCTGGGAATTAAGGAGGGGCTTGTGCTTAGACTGCTATTCTTTTTCTCAGGGAACTCTGAGCAGCAACTTGTTTGGTATCTTGAAATCAGTTGAAACATCTTGAGAAACTAAAAGTCAAGGAAAGGGAGGAAAGAATCTTTGGTGAAAGAAGGATGCTTCTTGGATGGAGGAACCAGAAGGCAAATTATACTGGCTCAATTTTGCTGTTTCCAACCAGCAAGAGATTAACCTGGGCAGTTATTGCTGTCCAGACCTTAATTGTGAGCCTAGATTATAATGCAGTTTAATGTAAACTGTCCTCAATATTTTAGGGAATATTAGACAACCTTTGAGGTACCTTGGTTCAAAACCTGTTGCCCAGCAATGCACCATTTTACCTAGTTAAAGGGTACACACAGACAAATATGAGAAGTTAGGAAGGAGGAGGGAGAAAATTTGCTTATTGTTTCTTTGAACAAACATCAAAACACAAATCGTCACAAAAACTACCTCTGCCCTAAAAAATTTTCCTAAGAAAATTTTTGGATTGCAAGAAACTTCCTCAATTGTGGAAGAGAAGCACAAGTAGAACAAATCTATGAATATTTAGGTGAGGACAATAATTAGAAGGAGGTCCTGTGGCAGGCAAGTGTGTAAAGACAGTAATAATTGTCTTCTTGCTTTTGTGATCTCTCTCCACTACAGATGTGGATTTTAATCAGCTGGAGGGTCCCAATCGGGTTATTGTCCCTTTCCTGGCTTGTGGCGATCTGAGTGCTTACGATTCCGATCGGACCTACCCGCTACAGGTAAGACCTGGTGCCCTGCTGGGGTAGCAGGTGATCTGGAAATAAGCAGAGATGGCCCATCCAAAATCATTTTCACATGAACCAGACTTGTTGAGCTTTTAGTTGTGAAAAATGTAAATCCAGCAACTAAGCAGCAGGTTTGAATAGATGCAGATCCCATTCTTTATCCAGCCTCGGAAGTAGTATTTGCAAACCTTTTCTCCAGCAAAGGGATGGTGGGGGTACCTACAGTTGGTGCCAAGTGTTTGAATCCACTCATAGGACAAGAGCTCTGGTGCCTTAGAACAGCGGCCCCCAACCTTTTGGGCACCGGGGACAGTTACATGGAGATAGGTTTTTCCGTGGACTGGAGGGGACATAGTTTCGTGCACTGCCTGCATCCCACGGATGGGACTTCGCTTGTTTGCATGGCCCGATTGCATGCATGCCGCAGACCCGTGCCAGTCCATGGACTGGGAGTTGGGGACCCCTGCCTTAGAACTGTTGGCAAGGAAGCCTGACAGCAGGCAGAGAGAAAGTTAAAAAAGAAGGAATGTTGGGAGTCTGGCGTTCCAACCAGGAGCAGCTTCCTAGATGAGCTAATGTAAGCCTTTCTCTTTCTCCCATGGGGTCAGCTGGATCCTGAGAAGGAGTATACCTACGTGCCCCCGACCCAGCCGCCTATCCGTCCTGCCTACGAAGAAGCCTGCTTCTTAAAGAAACACAACCTCCTTACCAAGGAACAAGGGCCCCACCCTCAGCTTTCAGTGCCGGGGGCTTCAAATTTTCCTCCAGAGACTGAGGTCGTAGATGCCCTGGAGGAACTGTCAGTGTAACACAATCACAGGACTCGGGGAGAGGAAAAATATGACCCTGTGCCAGGTCGAAAGACTACATTTTATCTTCTGCAGGAGCAAAGATAGAAAAGATGAGCTTGTCTGGAGAGTTGGACCTTTGAGGATGCTTGTTCTCAGGGCACATTAGTACTACAACAGGCCTTCGGAGTCATACTGAAATGCAAAAGAACTTTGCCCTTCCAATATATACACATAATCCTAGACAACCTGGCTATCCAGCAGCAGACTTCAGAAGGAGGCTGCATATAACAAGAGATTTGGCCAGGGCTGTTGTGTTAGACAACCTGGCTGTTACAGAGCAGCTTGAGAGTCTTGTCTCTTTCATCCCCACTTCCTGCCTTTTCCAAAGGTGAGAACTTGTAATGGTTGAAATCATGGTCACTTCTCCTTCGTCCCTTTTTTCAGTTTGCCCTACTCCTAGATCTCCAGATCTGCATGAGGGTGACAATTGAAGCAACCACAGAGATGGCGCGCTTTTGCAGGGCTCTTTTATCTCAATCATAGATACTGAAAGTGAGCTAGGAAGGGGAGTGTAGTTTCACTCCAGACAGTAATAGGCCTGTTGAGGTAACTGAAACATTCCATCTTTGTCAATTCTATTCTAAAGTGAGAAAATGGATAACTTGAATGCTCGTTTAATGTCAGATCTAGGGATAAAAACTGCACATGAGCTTGCTCTTGTTAATTTAAAGCAGCAGTTCTCAACCTATGGGTCGCGACCCCATTTGGGGTCGATGACCATTTCACGGGGGTCGCCAAGCAAGGCTGTCCGCCATTTTTTTTTTCCTTTTCCGGCGGGTGCCTTACCTCCCTTGGGCTGGGCCAGCTGGTGGTCGGCCTGCTCCGTCTCTGCCCTTGCCAGCTACGCCTCGGCTGGCGCAGGGGGCGGAACCACGCATGCGCGACGCTCCCGGGCAGGGAAAGTCCTCAACTTACGACCGGTTTAGTCCTTGACTTACGACCGGTTTAGTCCTCGACGTACGACCGGTTTAGTCCTCGACTTAACGACCGGTTGGGGGTCGCGGCATTAAAAAGGTTGAGAACCACTGATTTAAAGGATGTTTAACTTAATTTCTGGTTAGTGTGCACCTTTTCCTATTTTATTGCTCAAAAGTGCAGCATTTATTTTAATAAAAAATTATCATTTCTTCAGTGCTTTCTTCAGTACAGACCAGCCAAAATTTCTCCTTTCCCTCCCTTCTTAGACTAAGTAGCTTAACAGGTTCCAGGAAGATATTCAGGTGGCCTGAGGCTGAGACCTTTAATCAGCAACACTCTTCATGACTTGATCAGATGTTCCTAATTTCTCTTGCTCAGCTTCTTTTAAGTGCTCCTATCTTAATGACAGCAACAATGGATTATTTGCCAATTTTTCTCTCATACAAAAGTATAGTCTCCAGTTTAAATGCAAATTCCTAGGTTTTCTCAGTGTATTGAATCCTATCCTTTTGTACAAACCTGGGTTTGTGTGATGCATGAAGCCATAAAGTAGCCAGCCATATTTTAGTGTAATGAGTCCTGCAAACAAGAGTTGTACAATGTTGAACAAGAACGGCCTTTAATTTCCTATGCCACTTGAAAAATTCTTCACAAGAAAATAAGTTAGGCTTCCAGAAAGATTAAGAGGAAAAGGAGAAGTATAGAGAGGTTACAGAGGAAAAGAACAATGGCTCTATTTTCCCAACATGTCTTCACAATCCACCCCTGAGGCAGTTTAGCCATGGTTAGAACAAAGGTTCTCCACCTAATACGGAAGCGCTGAAATCTCCCACAATATTATATTTCTGGGCATATCTCCACACAGATGCACATGCTTGCCTGGTCATACCTGGAGTTCAGTATCTCTCCACACTAGTCTGTATGCCTTGACATTATGCATACTTCTGAATTCAGCTGTCCCTGTGTCTCCAACCTCTAAAGATGGTGGCTATACGGCAGAGGCTCCATTTGCTTCCATTTTGCTAACGTGGGATTGAATTTGGATTTCACTTGATGTTTCAGTTCCAGGTTGTTGTAGGTTTAACCTAAGTCCTTCTGTCTTCAGGGCTCCTCTCTGGCAGCCAAGTTCCCAATTTTGCTGCTGTCTGTTCGCAGGCTCCTTTACAATGAAATCAAAGCGGTCCAGGGGAGAATGTTCAATTGTACAGAAAGCCTCATCACAGAGGTAGCCAGGGTTTGTTCCCTCCACAGATACACCATCAGCAGGACTACCACGACCAGATGGGCCCTCCTGGGTCTGGGAGGCTTGATGGTGGATGACCTGCTGAGCTTCCATGGAGGGTTCAACTCTTCGGAAAGAATAATGAGCAAATATGCCAATAAGGAACATCTCAACGGCCAAAGCATAGTAGTAGAGCACTGGAAAGATAAAAGAGAAGTATGAAGATAGGGTAGCCCAGAGAAAGGATGTTACTTGCTGATCTCTCAATTCCCCCTAGGAGCATAAACACACGACTGGAGGACATCAGGTTGAGGAAATAGGGTCTATGTGTTTTGATTTTGCACAAATCCTGAAAATGGGGCGATGTGTGCAAGTCAGCTTCCTTTTTGTAAAAGTAGCCACAAAAATACTTTTGAAAGTGTGTGGGCAGTGCCTAAGGAAAACAGAAAAGATCTCGCAGAACTTCTCTATTTGTAGAACAAACAAAGCTATGACAAATTCTTCAAAAAAGGCGTTATGCGCTTTGTAACTTCGACAAATCGAGACCTTCAGCTGCACTCTTGAACTATTCTTCATGAGGCAGGCACCTGCATAATCTTTGGAAAGGAGCAGAATCAGAGCTTTTGAGTCCTTTTTCTGCAACTCCAAGATACAAGGCAAGGTGGCACATTGCTGCTACCCCTGCCACTGCAGACAGCAAAATTGCTAGGAAGGTGCACCTACATTCAGGCAAGTAAGTCATACTTCGCTGTACTTATGCTTCAAAGCTAGACTCATCTACTGTTCCCAAGCTTTTTTTTTTTTTTGCTCATGTCTACTGGACTATCGTAATGTGCTCCACATGATGCTATCCTTGAAGAGTATTCAGAAGCTACAAATTACACAGGGCAGCTGCATGGACAGTCCTATGGGCCCCTAGGTCAGTGGTTTTAGGCCTGCGCCTAAAAAAGGTTCAATCAATCAGTCAATTTCAACTTCTCACGGAGAAAAAAAAGATCTTGCAAAGTTGGAATTGATTGATTGAACTTTTTAGTCCCACCCAGTCTGCCATTACCACTGCAGCCACGCCCACCCAATGGGCCACACCCACCCGGCACCCGGCGATGCATAAGTGGGTTTTGGGTGCAGTTTGGGCACTTGGTCTCTAAAAGGTTCGCCATCACTGCCCTAGGTTGACCCATGAAACACCATTGTTGTGTAAGCCACTTTGCTTCCGGGTGCAATTCAAGGTTTTGGTTATTGCCTTTAAAGCCCTTAATGGCATGGGACCTGGCTACCTGCAGAACCATCCCACCTCAGTGGGATGGGCCCACTCCACTCACTCCGGCAGAAGTGGCCTGCTGTGGATCCTGTCAGTCAAGGAACTTCAGCTGGAGGAGTCTAAGAAAAGAGCCTTTTCTTTCATGGCTCCCACCCTCAGGAACATCATGTCGCTGGAGATGAGATCCGCCTCCCACCTTCTAGGCCAGGGTTCCCCAACCCCCAGGCTGCAGACCAGTGCCAGTCCATGGCCTGCCAGAAACCAGGCCATGTGAGCGAGTGAAACCCCATCCACACACACACGTGGGATGCAGACAACCGCGTGAAACTAGCCCCCCCCCCAGTCTGCGGAAAAACCGCTCTCCACGGAACTGGTCCTTGGCGCCTTCCAAAAGGGCCTCAAAACCTGGCTATGTCAATAGGCTTGGGGTTCTGATGGAGATGTTTCATGCTGGAGGTGGTTAGTGGACTAAGAAGATCCCAGCTCCATCTTGATCGCGTACTGGTTCCCAGTTTACCCAATTTTTGTTAATTTTAATGTTTAACATTTCTAAGCTCTTAATGTTTTTATTTTATTCTTTTTATGATGTTGGAAAGTGAAATGGGTGGCATACAAATTTATGTATGTATGTATGTATGTATGTATGTATGTATGTATGTATGTATGTATTGGTATATTTAGGCTCCTCGTTTTTCAACTGCTAAGAAAAAAAAACCTACAGTATAACCAGCTAGCGAAAGCACAGAAAACACTCTTGCTAAAACTGGCCACTTGCCAAAGTCTTTGCCGGCTGTTTGCTGCTGTATCGTCAGAAAAACATCTCTAAGTCCACCCGTTCCACCTATAAACCACGTGCCTCATGGAGATGACTTACTTTGGGAGCGGGTAACAGTTGAGAGAGAAGGGCTGCAAGGAATGGCGCCTAAGGCTCCCATCGTTTCCACGATTCCACTCTGCAGCCCGCAAAGGACAAGCACCAAAATGATGCAGACAAACTTGTAGCGCAGGTTGTAGCCCTCGAGGGCCGGCTTGGTGGCCTTGTAAAAGAGCAAATAGCCATAGAAGGAGAGGAAGGTGGAGATGGCTATGATGATATTGATGTAGGAATTGGGATTGGTGTAGCCCACCTGGAAGAGAAAAAGTCATGACACACTTATGGGTCTTCTCAGTTGTCACCCACAGAAAGGCATAAGTTGATTTTAACCCTCCTGAATTTGAAAGGCAGGCCAAAAAACTTTTGGCTTAAGAAAGTTCTTGAACATTATCTCTCTAGTCTAGAGCAATCCTAGGATATTGTGCACAGTGATTCTATAAGAAAAGTCTGCTGTTTTTCAACATGCTAAGACTATTAAAAGTATTAGTTTCTTCCAAAACTCTGTAATATATCTAAGAAGAGGATGGATTTGTTTTGTTTCGTTTACCTTTTTACTGGAGCTAAAAACTGTTTAATCAGTTATAAAACTGGCCACTTGAACCTGTAGGGGTCTTTCCTTCTTCACTCTCTTTGGATTACCGTTTGTCTGAAATGATATAGGGTTTCCTGCCTGAGCAGGGGGTTGGACTAGATGACCTCCAAGAACCCTTCCAACTTTATTATTATTATTATTATTATTATTATTATTATTATTATTATTGTTGTTGTTGTTGTTGTTGTTGTTAATCATCGCACAGTCAGCTAGATATTCAGACTGGATTTGGCATTTTTGTCTACCTACTGAGTCCTTCCCAAGGATCTGGGATAGGCAGATGTGGATGTTTGATGGTATTACAGATATCGTCGCAGGATGGAAGCAGTTCCTAGTAAGGCTGCCTTTTGCAATTGACTGATGGCGAATTTGTCAATGCCAATGGTGTTCAAGTGGTGCTCTAGTTGCTTTGGGATTGCACCCAAGGCGCCTATTACTATTGGTACTACCCTTGCTTGCCTTTGCCACAGTCTTTCTATTTCTATTTGTAGGTCTTTGTATTTTGTTATTTTCTCCAGTTCTTTCTCGTCTATTCTGCTGTCTCCAGGCACTGCCGTGTCCACTATCCAGACTTTTTTGTCTTTCTTATTGACAATTGTTAAGTCCAGCAAAAAAGTCTGGATAGTGGACGTGGCAGTGCCTGGAGACAGCAGAATAGACGAGAAAGAACTGGAGATTATTATTATTATTGATCATCGCACAGTCAGCCAGATGTTCAAACTGGATTTGGCATTTTTGTAGTATCATCATCATCATCATCATCATCATCATCATCATCATCATCATCATCATTATTATTATTATTATTATTATTATTATTATTATTATTATTATTATTAGCCAGGGAGTAGAAGAAAAAGTTCAGTGAGGAGTGAACATCTTTAATAGCCTTGGGATGCAGATTTACTAATACAGGAAGGGATTCAGTGGAGAAACTTGAAAAGGAGCCTTCCACACTATAATATGGCATTTTGTGGCATTCCACAGCTGTCAATTATATACATTACTTTCAAAATGAGAGCTACAGTATTATCCACAACATCAATATAGAAGTATAGCTGATCTCAGGTTGTTTTGTTCAGCCAAATCTTGGTGATAACCAAGACAAGCTTCATTGCTCCACAAGATGTAATACCATGTTCATTCCAGTTATCTCAATCCAATGGAAATGTCTATCAACCAAACATGTAAGATAAATTATTTCCACCCACCCATGGAAAAAGCCTCTTGACCATTCTCTAGTTCAGAGGTCCCCAGCCTTTTGGGCACCAGGGACCGGTTCCGTGGAGAAAGGTTTTTCCACGGACCAGAGAGTGCATGGTTTTGTGTGCTGCCTGCATCCCACGGATGGGGCTTTGCTTGTTTGTGCAGCCCGGTTGCTGCCATGCCACGGCCTGGTACCGGTCCATGGACCAGGGGCTGGGGACCCCTGCTCTAGTTAACAGGAGTTCTCTCTTTTGCTCATGGTCTATGACAGGGGTAGGCAACCTCGGCTCTTTTATGACTCATGGACTTCAACTCCCAGAATTCCTGAGCCAGCATGGCTCAGCTTGGAAACTCTCTCTTTCCCCTCAGTATAGCTGACTCAGGAATTCTGGGAGTTGAAGTCCATGAGTCATAAAGAGCCGAGGTTGCCTACCCCTGGTCTATGAATTTCAGGACGCAAAATTACTCACAGCGCCGTAGTCATATTCGTCATCAGTCCAGAGGATAAGGGTGATGAAGAAGAGGATGGTCCGGATGAGGGAGAGCTGATACACGGCCACAGTCATACATCGCAAGTTTGCTCTGCCAGGGTGGGTGAGGGGGACAGAGAGAAGAAGGTCAAAGAGCGATTCGCTATGTGATAAAAGAAGAGGGAAAGTAAGGAAGGCTAAAAATGCCTCTTACCGATTGGCTGCAATCTCAGGAAGGCAACAGCAGCAGCAGCATGGAAAAGGGTTCGGAGAAACGTGCTGCCCTTCCAGTTGCTGGGCCATCCGTTCTGAGCCCCCAAAGAAGTCCCGGATCAATGCAAGGAACTTCCAGAGGGTGATGGAGTGGTATCTGCAGCAACAAGAATAGGAACCTTATGTAAAAAGTACACCAGCTAGGAGGTAGAAAAGAGGAGGTCTGAGTGGCCTGTTTCAGCTTCCCTGGGATACCCAGACTGAAATATGGAATGTTTTATTTTCAACACTTATTTCAACTGCTGCCCGTTTTGAAAATGGAAAACATAATTGACAAGCAATAACTATCAGGGAGATTGGTACGGCAAACTGAGGGTTGGGGTGCAACTCTATGACTTCTGTTCCTATGCCTATTTTCAAGGCTAGAGAGACCTACAATACACAATCTCCAATGAAGACTAAAATACTGGGATGACTGACTGGCAGTAGGTCAATTTGAGATCCAATGACTAATTTCTAGTGAATTGATCCTCATGCATCTGCATGCGTAGGGTAAGAAAGACATTCATATGGCGAAGGAATTGGACTCTATCATCTAGATNCCGCGAGAAGTTGAAATTGACTGATTGATTGAACCTTTTTTTTTTTGTACATGGCGACGGAAGCCTAAAGCGAAAAGGTTTTATAAAACCCAACTGAAGGCCTAGGACTGGGTGGACGGTGCGCGTGCCCACAGAGAGGGCTCTGAGTGCCGCCTCTGGCACCCGTGCCATAGGTTCGCCACCACTGATCTAGATGGCCCAGCCATACATTTTATTGTTATCTATCTTAAACAAAAACCAAAAGAATTATTGTTCCGTTAGAGAGCAGATGCTTTCCACGTGGAAAGTCTCAAACATCTTCAGCAAAAACAGCAGAAAAGAACCTGTTTTGGCCCCCAATAGGCTACAGGCACTGAGAAATCAGGGCTCATATTTACATGCACACAAGTTAGATGACTGCAGATATTAAGGCATGAATTTGCATACATAGCCACCTTCCCCACCCAAGTTTTAACACAACTGAGTTTGCTAGGAAAAGAAAATTACCCCCATATCCCCTCTTCACTTGGAAATGTAGCAGTTGCAAGTTCTTTGAAAGCCTCTGATCCTGAGATTCGGTGACCAGAAACGCTTCAATAGGTGCAGGACTCCCTCAGAAAATTCTAGAGTTACTGAGCTTCAAATATGAGCAGGCAGAGAATGAGTGGCTGCAGTTGTAACGTCAATAAGTCAACTGTCTTCGGAGAGCCTCTGTCAGTTAAAAGATGCAAAATTTGGATTGTGGACAAGCAGCTGCCCTGGTCATGAAGCTAGTTTTTCTTTTCTTTCTGTTCTTGAGAACAGAGGTTTTCAGCCTTCTCAGAGGCAGAACTACCTTTAACGCACGCATGCATTTGGAGATGTTCTGTTGTGTGTGATAGAAACCCATTCAAGGCTTAGCCCAGATTAGTAATCTGGTGAGTTACAATCCCTCCCCCGGTTGCAGGCTAATATTAAACGTGGCACTATCCAGGTGGGATGGGCAATAACAATCAGGAGTGATTTAGTTAAATGTGATGGGAGCTGTTAGGAAGAGCTAAAGTTGGAAAAGGCTATCCCTGACTAGGATTGGAGAACCATTCGTTTCCAAGACTAATATGGCCAGCCAGGTTGGCCAGGTGACACACTGAGCAAGTTTCCTCTTGCAGAAGTCCACTGCTTCCACTCCATGGCCCAAAGAAAGGCAAAGAATGGGTGGGGCTATACTGAGTGGCAATGCTTGCAAGCACTGCACTGAGGTCAGCCTTTTCTCATCTGGGTGCTGCCCAGAATTCTCATAATAGCTTCTGCTGAGGAAAAAACATAGCTCAAGAGGGTACCCAAGATAAGGAAGGGTGACCTAAGAGCACCAACAAGTATTGGTTATGCTTCAGTTGCTTGCATTGAAGGAGAAGGCACGATACTCATTGATCAGTGGAACGACTTGCCTGCATAATTTGTGGGTGCTCCAACATTGGAGGTTTTTAAGAAGAGATTGGACAACCATTTGTCTGAAATGGTGTAGGGTTTCCTGCTTGAGCAGGGGCTTAGGTTAGAAGACCCCCCAAGGTCCCTTCCAACTCTGTCATTCTGTTAGATTCAAGGAAGCTAGTTTGACTCTCAGAGACAGAGTTTTTCTTATGCTGATGGCAACTTTCATGCACTGGACAACAGATAGGACTTCAGGAAGAGGAAGAGATATTTCCCTCCACATTTTCCAGTGTGCAAAGGGTGCAGGAGAAATGACTGAGAATCTAAGGCAGGGGTAGTCAACCTTGGCTCTTTTATGACTCGTGGACTTCATGACTCGTTGAAGTCCACGAGTCATAAAAGAGCCAAGGTTGACTACCCCTGAATTCTAAGGCATCTTTGGATTCAATTTCCTGCTTTTACTGTAAAGGATCAAGACTGAAATTTGAAGCACACTACGCTACAAGGCCTAGCTCAGATAAATAACACAGCATAATTCCATGCCTGCGGTTAGAATGCTGAAATTCTGTGCATTTGTTTTCAAGGGTGAAAACTGCTAGTACAACAATTCCTTTGATGAGCTGGAGCAGACGTTGTGGTGCAGTTGGAGTTTTCTGCATTCCCCCCCCCCCCTCGATTGTCCCCATGCAAAGAAACTTACATGGAAGCCACAAAGTTACAGACAAAGGAAGCTCGAGGGATGTACAAACAGATGAGGGAGGTGAGGCTGAATACCTGTTTGAGGACAATATAAAGATAGGTTTGTACCTTTTAAATTGTAATTTGTCCCTAGCCAGTAAGGCACCCTACAAGTATTCCTATGCACTCTACCATTCCTGAGATTACTACTAAACACTCTTCTTTTTTGATTGCTACTCCACCCACAAAAGAGATGAACAAACATCTAGGCCGAATTTATACATGCTATTTCCCCGTAGTGCGATGTTTTCACTGTCCAGTTTGACCTACTGGTATTCCGAGATGTATATTGAACCGAGTGAAGGATGGTTACATTTAGCACTCAGATCTAGTGGCTCCTGAATAAAGAGCCTGTCGTGATGATTTTGCTGCTATAAGCAAAGGCCGCCATTCTATCTTCCAGTAACAACTGGTGTGGGTTTGTAAAGAAGTGGCTGTCAATGAATGATCTATCACAAGAAGACTTGAATCATGGCCTGTATGTCATAACCCTATTTTTTCTTGAATAAATTATGAGGAGTGATCTTGAGCTATGCTTTGCTGCAGTCCTATTAAAAAAAAGGAGCTTGCTTGTGGCAGCTGCTACTGGACACAAATTTGCTAAATAATAACTACTCTATGGAGGAATTCAATGAGTTTTGTACACCTTATATTCAAGAACGTATGCTTAGTGGTGGGGTTCCTTCTCTCCATTCTTACCGGATAAACTCCCAGGATCCAAAGTAAGACACTGGTGCGATGGGAACTCTTGCCATGTCGTAAGAAGAAGCCTGTTTGTTCCAGAAATAGACCAACTTGCAGAAGACCCAGGAATACTGGGATTAAGAAAATCCAGATCTGAGCCTTGATAACTGTAGGAGACAGGCAAATGTGATTTGGAGAGATGAGAGCAGATTCTAATCTCTGTTCCTAATTCCTGCTGGAAGTCTTATTATATTGAATTACCAGAACCTCAACTTATCCGGGCTGCTTTCCACAAATTCCCCATCCTCACCTTGGAAGATCTCGGATGACAGAGGCAACTGATCGCTGATAAGGGAGCAGTTTGGGTCACGCGCCATTTTCATTTCACCGGGACAGGTACCACTCCCCAGCCAATGACTTCCTCCTTTCACATCATTAGTCACTGAATTAATCATTGACACAGGCTAAGATGGGCGTCTTGGCAACAGGGCCAAGTCCAGCTTTCTTCACCTGCCATGAATTCCTGAATGCATCCGATAGATTAAAAAATGGTTACAGTCCTAATTTTTTAGCAGTATGAATCTGTAGTAGAATACACTTATATCAAGCTTGGAGTTTCCTCTAGAGCAGCGGTTCTCAACCTTTTCTTCACCATGGATCCCCTTCAAATGCTTAAAATACTTCTTCACCACCAAGACTAACTCAAGATTTAAATAATGACATTTCTTCAAGCCTTCGCGGAACCCCTGTGACATTGCGGCCCCTCCCAGTGGTCCGTGGACCATAGGTTTAGAACCACTGCTCTGGAGAGTAAACTACTCCTATTTGTAGAGCAGGTTTTCACAGTATTAAGTATTACACAAATATTACAGTATTAAGCCATACACAATCTTTAAGATCCTATTTTACAAACCGAAGCCTAGGGTCAGCTCAGCTGAAAGGATTTTGGGAAATACATATTTTCCAATACATAGAATGTCTTTTTGGGAATATCAACCACAATAGTTGAATCTCACGGACTAATTTTGAAATGATGGTTATGATATCTAAACCTTGGATTTGTTGCCCCCTCCTCTTCATCTGCAAATAAACTGATCCACCACACTGGTAAGGAATGAGCTTTTTTTGTAGGGATATTTTTTGCATCCGGTTGCAAATGTTTTCCGCTGTGCCCTTACAGAGGCAAGGAAGAGTAGCAAGGTGATCAAAACTCAGATCACAATGCAACCTTTTAAATTGTTGCATTGTATTTTGGCCAGCAAATAAAAAATGTGGGAAGACACCTTAAGTCCAACACTCTGGGGGACATCTGGATAAGGGGGGAAACTAATACTGCCATTTGTAGTTGGTGTGTGGGTCGCTTTTTCACACAAGCACTTTTAAAAATGGCAACGCACATAATAAAGTAGCATGTTAGAGAAAGGGCGATAGCTTCTCACAAAACCATTTAACTTTCAATATGCCAGGAACTTATATTGTTGTCCAATAATGAGTCAGGTGCCATAAGTGGGTCTCACCTGTCTACCCATACTGATTCAGCTAGTGACTCTACCAGACCTCCAGAACATGGCTCTCCAAACTTTTATAAATCCAAGCATTATTTTTTAAAACCGGAGAAAACTCCATGTGCAGCCTTCTGTC